ATGTGCCAAGTCCCAGAGTCTGATAACAGAATGGCACCTGTCAGGGTCTGTAAAAAGCTCAGAATGACTGGAGGATAGAGTGAAATGTCAGGGCTGACTGGGCAGATGAAGGTATGGCAGAAGGAGTGTTGGTTGGGGCCAGATGATTTTGTGCCTTATATATTATATTTAAAAGTTTAACCTTTATTCTACAAGAAGAGTTTTAAGCACGGGGAAGAAAATGAGCACATTAGTGGTTTAAAAAGGTCACTCTAGTTTTAGTCTGTGAATGGTTTAGAGGGGGCAAATCTGGTGCTGGGGGCAACAGGAGGCTGCTTCATGAAATGATGCCTAAGAGATTGAGAAAAGCAGGCCAAGTGAAGGGATCTTAAGCATGGAGAAATGCTGGACTCTGAAGTTTGATTGGATATGAGTGGACATGGGAAAGGGTCCAAGATGATTCTAAGATATACTACTGGGATAACTGAGTTGATGGCAGTGCCATCAACAGAAGATAAAAGAAAATGGGAGAGGCTTGGAGAGGAAAAGGATGACTTGTTCAGGCGGTGCTGCTTATATTGCTGGATATATGAACTGGAGTTCAGGGAGAAATACAATCTGAGTATATAGATTTCAGAGCATTAACATATGCTGGAATAAACTTTGTGTTTTCATGAATCCCTTAGAGAATATAAAGAAAGCTATTTTCTTCAGAAAAAAAAGTATAAAACACACACACACACACACACACAGACACTTGAGTACATGTGTAGATACTTTAGGGATAAAAGAGTGTGCCTAGAGTATGGATGGAGTAAGAAAAGGAGATGAGAAAAAACTTTGGGAAGAGTAATACTTAATGGATGAATGGGGTAAAGAGCCTGCAAAAGTTGCTGAGAAGGGATGACTTAAGGAGAAAGAGGGAAACCAGTGGAGTGTAGAGTGTAGACAAATGAAAGCCAAGGTAAAAAATTTAAAGAGAGCACGGTGATATTACATAAAATATAGAAAAGGCAAGTAAGGGAAAGATGGGGAAAAATTGATCTGTTTAGCAAAAGGTGAGAAATTTAAATGTAGAAGAACAGGGGCCACTAAAGAACAAATATTTTCATATATATATACAGGAAATGATAGGACAGTTAAGTAGATGTGAGAATGTGACAGGAAAGAAGGAGGGGGATACAAAGAAGTCTACTGGGCACAGAAAAGAGAGCAGGAATTTGGGAGAATTCTGGGACATTGTCTTCTGGATCTTCTCTGCTTCTGTAAAGGAAGGGTTGGTCAGCTAATTGGAGGGCTTGCTGGCCGTAAGTTTGACTTCATGTTTCCTGGAAGCTAGTACCAAATTGGACTAGAATGAATTATGTGATTCCTTGTGTCCCAAAGAAAGACATATTTTTAACTCAGGAGGTACATCAGCCCCATCTGGGTCTTTTAAGCAGCCCAGTCCAGTCTGGATCTCATGCTGGGGTCTATGCAAAAGGGGCAGCTGATGAAACCTCCCCTATAGGAGAGCAGAGCTCAGAACTGGTCTCCTGACCCTTGTGTCATATTACCATGCTGCTTTCTCAAGTCTCCAGGGTGCCAGTATGGCTCTTCCTGTCTTTTCCTCCTGTTTCAGATTTGAGGCTGAGCCCTCTTGTTTACACAGGAGTGACACTGACTTTCCCAAATCAGCAGCCCCTGTAGCTAATCTCAGAGAACACCCCTGAAGGTACAGCCTAGCCACAAGACTATCCTACCATGGATCCTTTCATGGGCACATCTCATGGAATAAAATTAAAAGCCTTGAGAAATTTGATTCAGCCTTGGATCAAATGGGAAAAAAAAAAAAAAAAACCACACAGTTCACATTTTAGGGAGAAGACTTGAGGAAAAATAATCTGTTGACATAAGTACTTAAGAACTTAAAGTGCTATGCTGGTTAATATCTTTCTCAGCAATATAGAGAAGAGCAGGTTGGAGACTATTTCCATTGCAGTGAGTGTGGGAGCACCGTGAACAAAAGGCACTGAGAGACTCCTGCCAGAAGCTAATGGTGCAAAGGTCTTATTTAGCTTTAATCATGTTATCGTATTCATAACTCCTCTATTTAACTTTTACTGATATGGAATAGGATATTCTCCATGATATTTAATCATAAAGTTCTATTTTTATGTTTCTTATTTTGAAACAATTACAATTTATAACAAAAAATAAAGATTTCCAACCTGAACCACCTGCAAGGAAATTGCTAATCCAATACCCATCACCTCCAAATATGCCAGTATTTCCTACAAATGATTATTCTCTTATAAAATCAGAACCTGATCAGCAAAATAGGGAAATTAACATTGACAAATCACCATCTAACCCTCAGATCCATTGCCCAATAATGTCACGTATAGCAAAACGCTGCTCCAGTTCAGAATCACACATTACATTTGATTGTCATGTTTTTCAGCCTCCTGTCTAGAATAGTTCATTAATCTTCTCTTTACTTTCAACTCCCTGCATTTTTGAAGAGAACAAGCCAGTTATTTTGTAGCATGACTCTCAATTCAGATCTGACTGGTGGTTCTTCATGCTTAGATCCAGGTTGTGTATCTTTGGCAGGAATACCACAGAACTAATGCTGTGCTCCCTTTCCTGTATCTTATTATCAGTGGCACATAATTTTGTTTGTTCCATTACTAATGAGTCATTTTAATCACTTGATTAAGGTAGTGTCTGCCAGACTTCTCCACTGAGAGCTTATTCTTCCACTTTTTCACTTAAGCGTTTTGTATGGAGGTATTATAAAACTATATACATATCCCATTTCTCATCAAACTTTCAGTTTATCTAATTATTTACTTATCTTTCTATGGGCTCATGATAGCCTATGGTATCCAATCAGTTATGATCCATTATTATCATTATTTATTTTGATGATCAAATTGTCTTCAGTTTTTCCAGTGAAAATCTATTTAAGCAGACTTTTGTGTCTTTTGACATGTTTCCATCATTCTGGAGTGCTTTCTTGCCTTCTGGCACAATAAATGTGTTAGCCTCACCATTTACTTTCTCTGTCCCAGATCTGAAATCAATCATTTTTCCAAAGGGGCCATGTTTCTCTTAGTTTTGAGAATGGGATATAGAAGCCATGATCTGGGTGCCAGGTATGTTCATTACAATTGAGGTGTCACTGTTCCCAGGCCCTTTCAGAGGACAGAGCTGGGGATATATGTATGTAAATATAATACATTTATTCACACATTTACTTTTATATTTATTTATATAACTAATTCAATATATTAAAAGTCTGTAGTTCACATGAGTATCTCTAAGTCAAATCCAACTCACTGAGTTTATTGTCTTCTTCCTTCTGATATTTGTAACTTCTTTCTTCAAAAAAATGAAAACCTGGCTATCATTATCTCTAACATATCTACTTGTTTGATCAGCTCCTCTCCTTAAATCAGTTTTCCATCTCTGCTGACACCCCTTTTCCTGCAAGGATGTCCTCTTCACCCCAACTTGGGTTCTGAAACTCTGTGCTAGACTACCCTCTATTTGAAACTCTCTGTACCCTGCTCGACTGGAATAATCATACTGGTCTACCCCCATATGTGGACGCCTTCCTCAGCCTACTTCAGATCTGACTCTTTCCACCTCTGCATGGAAACCTTTCTCATCCTGCTTAGGTCTGACTTCTCATGTTGGGTTGCCCTTATCTTCACCTTGCTTCGTGGGTTCTGCCTCCTTACCCTGGCCACCTCTTCCAGAACTGAACACCCTCCTCACCCATTTTGAGCCAGGACACCTCATGCTAGTCTACCCACTCCACAGATTCTGACCTCATCTTGCTTTTGCTGACTCCCAATGTCCCAAGCATGAGTACCTTCCTTATTCTTTTTGGAAACTGATCCTCCCTATCAGATGCTTCTCTTCTGGGAGGTAATCATAAAGAACACTGAATTAGGTATCACATCCTTCAGCTGGCTACCCCCACATCATGCTAGACACCTTCCTTTCCCTGCCTTACCCATCAGGGCAGGCCATCCCTCCTCAGGGGTGACCCCCTTATCCCTTGGATCCTGACTCCTCACAATAACTGTCCTTTTTCCCTTTATGGGAATGACCTCCTCACCCCACCTCGGTTCTGATTCCCTATGCCATGCCCCTCTACCTGGACACCTTTATCAATGTTCTCGACTCTGGCCTCTCACACCAGGTTACCTCCTGACAATCTACACCAAAACTCCTCCAGGTATGGATGCCCTTGTCACTATTCTCAGGCTCTGACCCTGCATGCCATACTATGCTTATGCATAGGTGCCCTCCTCATTCTTCTTGGCCTCTGATTCCTCATGTCAGGCTGTTATGAGAAATCACAGCTTTCTCACCCTTCTTGGTCCTCAGCACCTCATGCTGGTCCACTTCCCTGCAAGAATATCCTGCTTGGGACCCTGAAGCTCACTCTGGATGCCCCTCCAGCATGGATGCCTACCTTGCTCTGCTCCATTTAATGTCACCCAGAGCATCTAATTTATGTACTAAATTATGGGGGAAGGGAAGGGAAAGATGAAAAGAAAGGGAAAGAGTTAAAGGAAGGGCAAGTACCAAGTTTTATCTACAATTTTTCTTTTGTTTGATTAATCACTAGAGATGGTTAATTGTAACTTTTAACAATGAGATTTGTTACAGGTTATTATAAAACATGTTTATTATAAGAAATTGTATTTGTTCACTTATTAATCAATTATAAATAAGTTAAATCAAAAACTGAATTTGTAATTTATAACCATCTATGGACTCATCTACTGTGTTTTAATTAATAACCCATAACTATATACACTATGTAAGGTCTCTTGAGATCCAGAAAACACCAGACTATATCTCTCCTGGCAATCTTGCTTATATGTCCAGGAGATTCATATCTAAAGACCATCTTAAGCCTCATTCTGCATAGCCCAACTAAGGTGGATGATTCTTAGAGCATTACATTCTAAAATGAATTTCTTACCTAGAATTATACTTTTATGACTGTTCTCATGTAGCTCTCATATTTTGGAAAATGTGCTTTAGAGGCCTGGGGAGGACATCTCATCTTCAAGCAGATTGCTGGCCTTTTATCAATTTTACATATCACGATTCTAGGTAAGTTTTCCTTTGAGGAGACAATTTTATGCAGCTTACTCCTTCCTAACATCCTCTCATTTTTTCAGCTTTAACAGAAATGTTTTAAACTTTAATTTGAATAAATTTCAGATTTTTCAGCATATTATAATTTCTCTTAAGTAAAAGAATTATGGCAAAGAAAGTATATGTATGTTAGTTATTGCCATGAACATAGTATATAACAAATCGTCCCCAAATTTAGCTTAGAACAACAGTCATTTATTCTCCTAAGTCTGCATGTTGGCTGATCTGGTCTGCACTTGGCTGGATGACTATGCCGGTTCTGGTTGGTCTCACATGTTTAGAGATTAGCGGGGACCAGCTTTGTTCTGCCATATGTCTGCCATCTTTCTGTGACCAGCTGGCTGGTCTGGGACCAATTTAAGCAGGCTCTTCTCTTGGCCTGGAAGAGAGGAAGCTTTATCTCACAAGTGCTTTTCAAGTTTCTGCTACCCTCATGTCTGATTGAAAGATACTGAAAAGTGGCAGTGGATGCAGGGAGGGAGAAGGAATTTGGGCCACTAATTCAAACTACCATAGAGTACCACGTAGCAATAGGAATGGAAAAGGGCACTGCCAGAGGTTAGCAATTATATCTCAAATACTAACTGGTTTATATCGTTCTTAGTAGTATACATTTTCTATTTTCTTTGAGCTAGTAAGAAATTTCCTTTGTTGTTGGCCCTTCTTCTTTCTGGAACACTCTCACTCTTTGAGATGGCTCAGTTAATCAAATTGACATAAAGCCAGTATTAAATGAATAGATGAATAAATATTACCATGATGTCACCCTTATTGGGCCTCCCTGTTAAGCATGAATCCCTCTTAGGGGTACTGAGACTGGCATTGTCATTAACCTCCATAGGCTGAAATTAGGAACTGGCCCTTGCCCTGGGATCTCTATTTTCATTCTTAATCCCTGAATTCTACGTAGTCTTAGGTACTGCCAAATTAAAATTCTTAAGTATTCTAAGACAATTGAGATTTCTTTTAAATTTTGAGTTTACAAATATTCTCTCTCTCTCTCTCTCTGAGTGTGTGTGTGTGTGTGTGTGTGTGTGTATGTGTAGGCAATTGTGCCAGTTTTAAACCAATTGTTGTGTTTCAAGAAAAGTTTTACTAATATTTTAAATCTTTTATAGAAAGTGAGAGGTCTAATCTGGTGTAAAACATTAAAACAATGGTCACCATTTATTAAGCACTCTTATGTCTTGGGTACTGTAATAGCTGTTCAATATACCTTAGCTCTACTTCCCAAAACAAGCATACAGGCTGGGCATTATTTAATATTCTCATTTGATAAGAAGAAATTGAGTTTTAGAAAAGTTAGGTAACTTAACCAAGGTCAAGCAATCAATAAATGGATTGATTTGGGCTGCCAGTCTTGCCAACTCCCTAAGCTTGCACTCTTTCCAATATACTATATTGCCTTGATTTCTTAATTAGGTTGGTCTCATGGACACCCTTCACCCAGCAACTGCACCAGCATCTTCTCCCAGGGAACACCATTGTGTTCATGACCTACAATGCATGCTCTGGTGAATAGTGGTTAATACAGGCAAAAACAAAACCTTTATTATTTGCCTCCAATAAGTAAATGATTATTGCGATGAATAATCCAGGTGATTCCATTCATCCATTCACTCATTTAACAAATATTGATACCTATTGTCCCCAATACTGTGTCAGGTTGAGGGCTCAGTGGTAAACAAGAGGCAAACATCTGTCATGACATTCTATTACAGGCTGCTGCTCTGGTTGAAAGGGTAGGAAACTCAGAGATGCCCTTGGTTGTCTTTCTCTTTACGTCCCCATTCCCAACCACCTCTGTGCAAAAATAGCACTCTGAAATACATTGTGAAAATCACTGCTCTGTAGACTTTCAGAGGGAATTAGGGTTATAGTTGTTTTCTCTAATTTCCACTTTCTCATCCCCAGCATCTTGCCTTTGAGGAAGTTATGAAAAGTATATTTTTAAAATAAATGCACAAAGATGTCTGTGTTTGGAGTATTGTTTAGAAAAAAGTTATCTGGAAAAATGAGCTGGACTGTTTTTTGGAGCCTTTCTCTGCCTTTGCTTCTTCTGCCTCCAGTTTTTATCAATCTGCTTTACCAACTCATCTTTGAGGCAGTGCTAGAGTTGTTTTCATAAAACTTTCGATGACTCCCTGTTGACCTTCTAACATAGTTCAATCTTTTAAACAGACATTCAAGGTCCTCTGGTGCTGCCCTTACCCCTTGCCAGTTTTCCAGTCTCATTTCCGATATATCCATCAGTATATTCTGTAGCCTCCTTCACTGATCACCTGCCTGGTCCCCAAACACATGTGATATTCACTCCTCCTCACCTTTGCTAGGCCCAGAATGCCCATTTCTTCCTCTACTAATCAAATCTATGCAACCTTCAAGGCTCAGCTCATTTTCAGCTTCTCCCTGAGGCCTTCCCTTATTGCTCTACCAGAATTAATTGCTTCCTCCTCCATACTCCCACAGCCCTGTCTTGTACTTCTGTTTAGCACCTTTTCTGTTCTGCTTCATCCAAATGCAATACGTTTACACATCTGTTTCCTGCAACCCCCTTGGATACTCCAGGATTGAGGTCATGGGTCCATGTCAGTTCATTACTGCATCTTTTACTGCTTTACTCACAAAAGGACCTTCACAAAATATGTCACATGATTGAACTAAATTCTTGTACTAGGTTTCCACAAGATCAGCTGTGGCCAGTCAGAGAGGTGGTATTGATTTAATTTTTATATCTAAGAAGTAGCTACAACTTGGTGTAAGACAGACCTGGGGTCAGATCCCATCTCTAAGTCTGTGAGCTATGGTGAGTCACTTAACTTCTTTCACACTCAGTTTCCTTTTCTAAAAGTGGGGATTAAAACCTACTTTGACGAGTTATTAGGAAGATTAAATGACATGATGTGTGCTTAGCAGAATGCCTGTCACATAGCAGCAAATAATAGGTAGTAAATGTCATTAAAATTTTACTTCTGGAAGAAACCCTAGCCTACATTATTGAGTCACCATGAAGTGCAAGGTGCTTGTCTCCGCACTTCATGCACACCATCTCATTTAATCCTCACAAACACCCCTATGAGGAGGTTCTATTGTTACCACCTTTATGTTAAGGTGAAGACCCTGAAAGATGAGGTAGTTTCCTGACAGCCCTGCAGCTAATAAAGGATACAGCCAGATGTGAACCCAGTCATTAGACACTAGATCATACACTTATAACTACTGTTGCCATTTGTTGGATTGGAGAAGTCAAAAAAGAATATTCTGGTTTTAATGGAACAGTGAAATTGGATGGTGAAATCATCCCTAACCAGGATCTGTCATTATGTCAGCCAGTCATGAAATAGGTGGGAACTTACCAATAGAATAATTTCTTCTGGTTGTGCAAAGGTAAGTATCAGAATGCACTCATTGCACCAAAGGATCTGTCAGGCTCTCAGCAGAGCCTGTTCTTTCAAGAATATTTTCTGCTCTTTAGATTTCCAAAAATTTTCTGTATTTTTGCAATTATAACATTTCAAGACAAAGTTGGCTTAACATTTTCCTCAAAACCTCTTCCCAAAAGAGGGGAGGCAAAGTCAAATCAACTCTGATGACACAGTACCTTCAACATATATAGACTGCAATAATCAGATCTAAAATTTTATTTACTTCCCTGGGAGTTACCATCTGATCAATTTCAAGATGAATAAAAAGATATCTCTTGCACCATTTAGGTATTTTACTTGCCATCATAAATTCCTGTGGTTTGTTATTTGACTCATACTGGGACTAGCTTAATCTGACGTATGCATATTCTACTGTGTTACTATAATTTAACCAAACATTATTTTGTATTATATGATATTTTAAATAAATTTATTTCCTAGTAACTAAAATTTAGAAAACCCAAGCCTCTCCCCTCTTTGAAGCCTTAAAATTTGCATGTATCCCACTTGAAAATTTTATATTTAATTCTTTTTTTCCTCTCAACCAGAAACTTTAGATGCCTGGTGACTTTTCTGGTCAAAAAATTATTACCAAAACCAAGAGCTTTTCCCCTCCCTCTCTCCTGCCCTCCCTTCCTCCTTCATTCCCTTTCTCATTTTCCTTCCCTTTCTTTCTTTCTTTCCTCCCTTCCTTCCTTCCTTCATTTTCTCACTCTTTCCTTTCTTCATAGCTTTATTGAGGTCTAATTTAGTTACCCAAAATTCAGTTGTTTTAATTGCACAATTTTATGACCTAAATTTATAGCATTGTGCAACTCACACAATAATCTAATTTTAGAATATTTCCATCACCCCCAAAAAGAAACGATATGCCCATGGATGGTCATTTTCTGTTTTCACTGCCAGCCTCAGGCAATCACTAATATAGTTTTTATCTCTATAGATTTAACTTTTCTGGAAATTTTATGTAAATGAAGTCATACACGTGGTTTATTGTGTAGTGTATTAATTATACTTCTATCACATAACATAATGTTTTTGAGGGTCATCTATGTTGTAGCATTAAAAAGTACTTTGCTTCTTTTTATTGCTGAATACTATTCCATTGCATGAATTTACTACATTTTATTTATTCATTCATCAGATGATAGATATTCAGTTGGTTCTTCTTTTGGCTAATGAGAATAATGTTGTTATGAACTTTCACATATGAGTCTTTGTGTAGACATATATTTTTGTTTCTCTCGGAGATTCCAGGAAGTGGAATTGTTGGGTATGTGGTAAATTCTGGCTTAACATTTTAATAAACTGCCGAAATATTTTACAAAGTGACTGCAATATTTTACATTCCCACCAGCAATGTATGTGGGTTCCACGTAATCCACATCCTTGTAAATAATTGTTTTCCTCATGTATTATTGAAATGTATATGGTGAGAAAGTTGTGAAAAATGGCTTCTAGTTATGGCTTTAATTGCAATTCTATTAGGAGTAAAGTTGAGCATAAATTTATTTATGTAAACCTCATGTCAACTCTCTCGTCCA